AAGGGACTGGAGAAGCAGCCCTGGAGTCTTCTGGCAAAGGGGGAGAGGGAGGAAGGGAGACAGACAGTAGGATGAAGGGAGGCCAGAAGGGGCAGAGGAAAAGGAGCAGGAAGGCCAGCAGGCAGCCTCCCGGGGAAAGGGCTTTTGAGGGTATCCGAAATGCAGAACAGCATTTCCCCACAGGGTTTCTGTTAGACAGCTGTCCTCCCACCCCCGGAGGGAGCCTGGTTTCTTCCATCAGCCTGGAAGAGACAGTTCAGGGACCTGGGCCTGGTGGCCGTGGCCACTCCCACCGCAAAGGCTTATGGTGATGTTTGAGATGAAGGTCTGAAGTTCAAGGGCTAGCACACAGGAGGTCAGCCTCCTTCTTTCTAACCAGGGGCTCCTCCCTTGGAGAGATAAGAAATTGCTCCTGAGAGGCAATAGCTACAATTTATAAAGGGCTTACTGTTTATCAAGTACTTTCATTTAACCCACAAAAATAGCTACTGTTATCATCATCTGTTCTGTAGGTGATGGAAGGAGGTTCAGGGAGCATCTAATAACATATACAAGGTCACATCGCCTGCAAATGTTTGTCCTGTGGGGACCTTGCTGCTGTCTAAGAGGGTGGCCCGTGGCCACTGAGCGTGGCAAATATGCCTAGTGTGAAGAAGGGAGTGAATTTTAAATTTTATTTAACTTCAATTTGCATTTAATTTAAGAACTGAAGCAGTGTATTTTTTTCTGTGGAAACGACTTGATTGTTTTAGTGGGATTCCATTTCACTTTAGCTGTTGAAAATTTAATGTCCAAATTGAAACTGTTGTAAAGTACCCATGGGCATTAGAAGACTTAGTATACATAACAAAAGAATGTAAAACATCTCATTAATAATTTTTTTAAAGTTTATTTATTTATTTATTTATTTGTTTGTTTGTTTATTTAAGTAATCTCTATACCCAATGTGGGGCCTGAACTCACAACCCCGAGATCAAGAGTCACATATTCTTTTGACTGAGCCATGCACGTGCCCCTCCCTTAATAATTTCTTAATATTGATTACATGTTGAAATGATAATGTCTTGGATATAGTAAGCCAAGTAAAACATTATGAAAATTAATTTCACCTTTTAATAAAAATTGTTAAATGTGGCCACTAGAAAATTTAAACCAACGTCAGTGGTTTGCAGTATAATTCTAGTGGCCCAGCACTGAGCTAGAGTATGAACCCAGGAAGTCTGCATCTGGAGTTCAGGATTTTGACCATTACATGATATCATCTGCCCCTTGAGTGCAGAGGTGTGTCAGGTAGCATACCTATCTGGAGGGTGTAGGCTGGAGCGACCCTGAGAGTTCTCTAGAATTTCACACTCCTCTTCCTCCAGCATCAGCTATCTCCTTCAAGACCTAGTTCTACCCAGAGTGGCCTTTTGGATGTAATGACTTCCCAGCAACCTCAACTAACCAAGAGTTTCTATTGGACAGGAGAACAGAAGCTTCCTTCATTCTCATTCCTCTGTCCCTTCATTCAGCAAAGGCTATTGAATTTCCAGTGTGTGCCAGGCCCTGTGAACAAAAAACAGAAAACAGTCCCTGTCCTCATGGAGTTAATATTCTACTGGGGAAGGCAAAAATAAAAAAGAGAAATATATAAAAGTATAGGAACTTAGTGATGGACGCCAGAAGAAACAAGGAAAGCAGGAGGTGGGTGGGAGGTGTGGGGGACTGTACTGGTTTCTTACAGCTGCTGTGACAAATGACTACTAAACAATCCATATTTATTATCTCACAGTTGTGGGGGTCTGAAGTCTAAAGTGGGTCTGCAGGGCTGCGTTCCTTCTGGTGGCTCCAAGGGAGAATCCATTTCCTTGCCTTGTCCAGCTTGTAAAGGCTCCTCGCATTCCTTGGTTGCTGGCTGCGCATCACTTCAACCTCTGCTTCCTTGTCATGTCTCCTTCTCTGTCCCTGGCTACTCTGCCTCCCTCTAAAAGTACCCTTGTAATGCGATTTGGTTCACCCAGACAATCTTCTCATCTCCAAATCCTTATTTAATCACATCTGCAACATTTGCAACCTCCCTTTTGCTATGAAAGGTAACATATTCACCGGTTCCAGGGATCAGGATGTGGACATCTTTGAAGGAGGGCATTATTCTGTCTACCACAGGGGCTGAAATTTGAGATAAGATGACCAGGGAGGGACTCATTGAGATGACATTTGAGTAAAGGCCTGAGGGAGTAAGGGAGTATACAGATACCTGGTGAAAGAGCCTTCTGGACAGAGGAAAAAGCATGTGCAAAGGTCCTGAGGTGGAAGTATGGCTGGTATGTTTGAAGATGAGCAGAGAAGCCAGCATGTCTGGAGCAGAGAGATCTAGGGGCAGAATGGTAGGAAATGACATCAGAGAGGTAATATGGAGTGGGCGTGGGAGGGGAGAGGTAGATCATGAAGGGCCTTGTAGATGATTTTAAGAAATGTATCTTATAGGGTCACCTGGGCGGCTCAGTTGGTTAAGCACCTAACTCTTGATTTCGGCTCAGGTCATGATCTCAGGGTCCTGGGATGGAGCCCCACGGGGGCTCTGTGCTTAGTTGGGAGTCTGCTTGAGATTCTCTCTCTCTCTCCTCTGCCCACCCCCGCTGTGTGCATGCTCTCTCTCTCAAATAAATAAATAAATAAATCTTTAAAAAAAAATGTATCTTATATTCTGAATGAGATGGGAAGACTTTAGAGGCTTCTTCTAAGTACATATTCAATAATTAACTGTGCAAAAAATCTAAAACCGAGTGAAAAGAAAAATGCAAAGTGGGGTATAAACATGTAAAAGGGCATATGGAAATATGGAGGGATATAACTGAGTGCAGGGATCAGCATAGGCAAAGAATTAAGCCTTTAATGTATGAGGGGAAACGGGTTAATGTCTATTTTACAGAGAACTCAAACAAATCAATAAGACAAGCCCTGAAAGTGGGTAGAAAGACAAGCAAAGGGGTGTGAACAGACAACTCGAAAAAGATGAAAAGCAATTAGCTGGGCACATGGGAAAATGATCAGCCTAACCAGTAATCAAAGAAATGCAAATTAGAACCACAAACGGGCTACATTTCCATCTTGTGAGGATTTTAAGGGCGATAATGCCGGCTTTGGCCATCCTGGCGTGAGGTAGACTCAGGAATGCTGGCTGCAGGGAGTCTGACCCTTTTGGGCAACCCTTTGACGCTGGCTCTCAAGACCTTAAACATGGGCATTCTGGTTGGCAGAAGGAAACCAAGGCTTGTAATCTAGCCCAAGGACATAATTCTAAATCCGGAGACAACTTTGTTCATGGCAGCCAAACAACAGAGACAACCAAACTGTAAACAATAGATTAAATAGGCCACGGGGGTCATTCCTTTGATTTTTTTTTTTTAAAGATTTTATTTATTTATTTGACAGAGAGAGAGGCAGGGAGAGAGGGAGCACAAGCAAGGGGAGCAGCAGAGGGAGAAGCAGGCCTCCTGCGGAGCAGGGAGCCCGATGCAGGGCTCGATCCCAGGACCCTGGGATCATGACCTGAGCTGAAGGCAGATGTTTAACGACTGAGCCACCCAGGCGCCACCTCCTTTGATATTTTTGTCAAGTAATATTAATTAAATGCTAGCCATGTGCCAAGCAATTTCTAGGTGCTAGGAATACAACCACGAAAAAAACACCCCAACTCCCTGGACCCCATGGGACTCATTCTAGTGAAGGAGAAAGAACATTAAAAAGCAAAGATGTGAACGTGTTACATGCCGAGGAAGAACAAAGCAGGGATATGTGGCAGGGAGTGATGGAGATTTGTAGGGTGAATAACTGTCCCAGTTTGCTGGGGATGGGCCCGGGGTCGGGGGGAGGTTCCCAGCACACGGGATTTTCAGTTTTATTATTTATTTATTTATTTATTTATTTATTTATTTATTTATTTAATATTTATTAAGTAGGCTCCACGCCTGGCCTGGAGCCCAGTGCAGGGGCTGGAACTCACAACCCTGAGATCAAGACTTGAGCTGAGATCAAGAGTCAGACGCTCAACCAGCTGAGCCATCCAGGTGCCCCAGAATTTTCAGTTTTAAAACTGGGACGGTCCTCGGGCAACTAGGATAAGTTGGTCAACCGAAGAAGGGCAACCTTCTGATGGGCTGGTCAGGGCCTTTCTGAGGAGGTGGCATTTGACTCAGGACCAAATGAAGCAAGGGAGGGAACTATGGGCATGCTAGCAAAGTAGCTTTCTAGGCAGAGAGAACAGTATGTACAAAGGCCCTGAGGCAGGAGTGTTCTTGGGGATGTTTGAAGGACTAAAAGAAGGTCAGGGTGTCTGAAGCATAGCGCCAGGGAAGAGAGTGGTAGGAGATAGGTTGCAGAGGAGGAGGGAGGGGCTGGCTTCTGACCCTTGTAGGAAAGGGAAAGAACTTTCGATTTTATTTTAAGCCCAGTCAGGGAAATGAAATGGTATAATTTATGATTTTAGAAAGATCCCTTTGGCGGTTGTGTGAAGAAAGGAATGTTGGTGAGTGCGGGGTGGGGGGCAGGGTGGACTCAGGTAGACCTGATGGGAGGTGGTTATAATCAAGGGCAGTGGTCTTGAACTCAAGCATGCATCAGAATCACCTTCAGGGCTTGTTAAACACAACTCCTGGCCCTGCCCGTGGAGACAGCATTTCTCACAAGACGCTGAGGTTGCTGGCCTGGATCACTCAGAGTAGCTACCACTTTGAGCGGCAAAGAGCCAGGAGAGAGGTGATGGTGACTTGCACTAAGGTGGTATCAGTGCTGAAGTCAAGTCTTGTGTGAGATGTGTTTTTTATTTTTATTTTTTGAAAGATTTTATTTATTATTTGACAGAGAGCGAGAGAGCATGAGAGAGTGAGCACGAGCAGGGCAGGATGCCGCAGAGGGAGAGAGAGAAGCAGACTCCCCACTGAGCCGGGACCCTGATGCGGGGCTCCATCCCAGGACCCCAGGATCGTGACCTGAGCTGAAGGCCGACGCTTAATCGACTGAGCCAGCCAGGCGCTCCTGGGATGTGTTTTGGGAAGTGAAACTGTGAGTCCCATTTTGGTTCTCTTGTAACCTGATTCCACTAAGGAGAATGTCTTGGTTTGATACCAGTATGTCTCTCACGCTGTTCTGCCCCCTCCCTTTTATTTTAGGAAAGAGAGAGCAGGCCTCCCGGCACAGAGTTCTCAGTAGAGAACTCTACTTAAAATCTGATTTGGGGGGAGGTCTTTATTGTATTTTTTTATGGTTGCCCACAACTTATGACAAACGATATTGGTTTTCCTTTTACAAGAGTGTTACAAAGCTTCCATTTTCAATGAATGTACTCAGTTTTTTTAGAAGCGAGAGTTGCTTTTTTATAAATCTGTGAAGTAAGTAATAGTGTAGGTAAAACTCAGACATCGTGCAACTATAGTTGGTGGCCCTTGAGGGACTGAAGTTGGGGAAATGCTGTCCTAAGCCTTAGTTCCCTTGGGTTGTGCAAGCTCAGCACTCGATGTCATTGCGCCCTTCATAAACCCATGAGTTCCCCACCGTCTCTAGGCCACAATCTAGTAGCCCACTGTACCTCACCATCTCCCTTTTTCTGCTGTTAATGCCTTTATTTATTCAACCCACATTTATTGAGTACCTACTAGCTTCTCAGTCCAAGTCTCAACCTCAGTTTGCGACATCCCCTGGGGAAGCATTTTATGAGTGATTTTGGTTCCTGGAAAGAACTTTCCCAACAATTGGTTAAATAAAACTATAAAACGAATGTGTACATATGTCCCTGATAAAGTTTCTCTCTTACACTTGCGTATGTGCTTCTCTGGAGGGAGAGAAAGTAAGAGATGGGTTTGGCATGCTGGGGATTACACTCCCCCCTCTACTGACACCCAAAGAGGGTGAATGTCACCTGTCATGTGTGTCCTAGGGAAAACAAACTTTGAAAACAGGCATAGGTTATGGCGCATCATCAGAAGATTTTATTTTTTTTAGATTTTTTAAAAAAATTTATTTATTTGACAGAGAGAGACACAGCGAGAGAGGGAACACAAGCAGGAGGAGTGGGAGAGGGAGAAGCAGGCTTCCCGCCGAGCAGGGAGCCCCATGCAGGGCTCAATCCCAGGACTCTGGGATCATGACCTGA